ATACATACTGCATGGTCAATGATCCATATCATTCAAGGCATTTCCAAAATCGGTAATGCACGCCTGTGACGCGCGATTTTCGACAGCCGACCATGAAACATTAATTACAAGTAATAATTAGTATGCGTTGATGATAGGACTTCACTCTGGTCAACAGGTAGCCTGCCCGTTGTCAAGGTGTGGGATTTGTTGGAGACGTACGCACGCTCTTCGGTCGGCCTGCCGGAAGATTTCAACAGTCCGTGGTCTTACCAGCCGTCTCCAGTCGACAAGAAGAAACGTTACGAGAAATGGTAAGTTATAGCTTCTTTTGTTTAGCTTTTTTTAGCGTATTGGACTTCTCTCCCTTCCTCTTTTCTTTAGTTAGTTGCAAACTTGAGGCTTTTTCTACTGCGATCAGCAGTATTGATCTGTCTATACTTGATCAACTTTGTCTATTTCTGTCTTCGATATAGTCCCTTAGACTTTATCCCATTATTTTCCCTTAGTAAAGACTAATATTTACGAGGTTACGGGGTGTGGTACCGACTATATTGCTGTCTATAATAATTATAGGATTTACCATCAGGAGTAAATCATCATCAAATTTGTGATTATTTATTCCTGCTACTATACTGCGGTATTGATTTGATTATCTACTTTGACAATATAGTGCACGTTGACAATATATCAAAATTCAAATTCAAAATTAATGATTCAACACAAATCAAAAACAATCCGGCCACTCTCGTCACACACAGGAAGCAGAAAAAGGTGAAGAAGCAGGATCGAGAGCAGACGATAAAGTCGAACCTGACCTCTACTAGCACGGCGAGTTTTCAGGTGCTTGCTCCAGAACTACCGGACGCGAGCAGCCGCAAGCAGTTCTACACGTGGGTGCCTCCCTCGTCGACTAGGAAGCCCCTACATATACCAGCAAAGTGAGTGCAATGCCGTCAACGCGAAACTCTAAACGTGAAGCAACTACACACAACGTGTACCTCGCACATTTAATCTTCGCAATAAATATTGTATGGCTTATAAAATAATATATTATATATATGTGGGGGATGTGTGTGTGTGTGTGTGTGTGTGTGTGTGTGTGCGTGTGCGTGTGCGTGTGTGTGCGTGCGTGCGTGTGCGTGTGTGCGCGTGCGTGCGTGTGCGTGCGCGCGCGCGTGTGTGCGTGTGTGTATTTATATATTATTTTATAGCTGTTGCTAACATTTAATTGTCTCGTTGCAGTTACACTGATAGGCAAATTGGGTAATAAGTCATGTCATCCCTGCTGCTTTCAAACAGTGATTCGTGTATTGCATGTTTTTCTTTTCTCAGAAAACCTAAAGAGGTGCATGTTAGAGATTTAACAGGAGAACTGATGCCCAGTGACATGGCAAGCAAGCATGTCTGTAGAGTGCATGTATGTTCCGTAGTAGTAATAGTAGTAGTAGTAGTAGTAGTAGTAGTAGTAGTAGTATAGTTATTAGTGGTGAGAGTGAAGTAGTGAGATTAGCAGCCAGATAGTAGCAGCAGCAGTGGCACGCAGCAGCAGTAGCCAGCAGCGGCAGTAGTAGTAGCACGCAGCCGCACATGGCAGCAGCAGCAGTAGCAGCAGTAGTAGCAGTGCTAGCAGCAGCAGTAGCAGCAGCAGCAGAGTACAGCAGCAGCATGGCAGCAGCAGCAGTTAGCACACCCAGCAGTATTTACGCAGCAGCAGCAGTGCAGCCAGCAGCAGAGCAACCGATACGATATTTTTATGTAGTGTGTGTATTATGAGCACTACTCACTTATTCCCTGGGACTCCTTATACTGACGATAACCATAAAGTTCTATCACTAAAGATAATAGAAATGTCATTATCACCTCGATAGAATGCTTGTCGCCAACAACGTACAACGTGTAACATGAGACAAAGAGAGCGCAATTGTGCCCCGTCCTTCTGGAATTCGTGTACATCTTCACGATAGCAGAAGGCTTTGATCATTTTTCTCTCTCACTGCAGCGAAAGAGCAACCGCTCACAGGAGGGGAACTACGAAGCGCACGGCTACTGGAGTAGAGTTCTCAACAAGATTTACGGGTATAGGTAGGCATGCCGGTAATAATGTACGCATTCACACAAGTTACAGTGACTGCAGCTATTGTCTGGTTATAATATATACTGGAGTCGAGTTCTCAACAAGATTTATGGGTAGGTAGGTGTGTCGGTAATGCAGGCAAACACACAAGTTACAGTGACTTCAGCCAATATCTGATTGTAACACTTCATTAATATTAGTAATAAATCTTTATTGCGTGTAATTTAATACAAAATACATGTATTGAAGACTTTTTGCTTTTTCAGACATGTTGCTAATTTTCTGTGGCCCCGTTGTCAGAAACAAAATCTGTCTTAACGTTAGCCTTAACATTGACTATAGCTAGCTTTTCTACTAGCTTATCTATTCTAGCTTATCTACTAGCTTTTCTCGTAGACCGGACGCTCTACGTGACGCTACGTGCCAGAATCTCGTAACTTTAACATCAGGAGTAGGTAATAGGGAAATTTAGGAAAATTCCCTATTATCTACTCCTGTTTAACATGTTTCTGTCGGTGAGGTGATGAGAAGATAGATGAGAAAAAGGTCGTCGAAATGAGAAAAGTTAATGTTAAGACTAATGTTGATTTGTAAGAGAGGAAGGAGATTTTGTAAGGAGATTGTCATTTTGTATCTGACAACCGGGCTCCGGGTGTGTGTGTGTGTGTATTGCAGGCTGGATGACATGCTGAACATGCCGGAACAACTCCTGCTCCGGATATTAAAGTCTGCTGCTCATAGTCAGGGAAGGTATAACACACACACGCACACGTACACACGCACACGCCTACGTACGCACCCACACACGTAGGCACGCACAGGCACGTACGAACGTACAGGCACGCACGTACGCACCCACACACGT